GAGGCCACATTTCCTCACCCGAGGCATTGTGGGTATGTTTGTATTCTCTGGCTTTCACCAGCTGAAGAGAACAATTCTTTCAAGACATGTAAATGAATTGTTTTCATGTCAGAGACTAGTATTTACTCTCCAAACTGAGCTGCTTTTTCTTCTTCCCTACACCACTGATTTTGACATAAGTCTTTAAAGTTACTTTACAGAATGTACCGGACAGGTCACAAAATGATGATGATGTTTTGATCTCATCTTCCCTTTTTCTTTTTTTAATACCGATGCTATTTTGCCTTTCAAACTTTGTTCCCATTTCTGTTGCTTCAAAGGCTGAAAACAAGGGAGCCAGCAACACGATGATTGGCGTGATCTTTGGATGTTATGCTTTATTTGAGTTTCTGGCATCTTTGGTATTTGGAAAATATGTAAGTATTAAAGTTCATGTATACATTTTAATTCTTAAAAAGTTATGTAATGAGTTACTCTTGCTTACTAGTCTAGAATTTCCATAGATTAAGAAATAACCACCATTATAATTTTATAAATGATGCCATTATTAAGAGTTCCATTGTTAGGGTTGATTGGTTTTGGACTCCCTCCGTGTTTGGTGTTTGCAAGCCATGTACATTCCCACTCTTTTAAAGTGATACAATGTGTTTGTTTATGTAAATATAGGCTAATAGAAGTAATCCTTTAACACTCTTCTCTGACATTTATTACAGCTTGTACATATTGGAGCAAAATTTATGTTCATAGCAGGAATGTTTATCTCGGGAGGAGTTACAATTATTTTTGGGTAAGTCACTTTCTGAGATGTTTGGGAGCTTGGACAGATTTCATGATCTACCTTCAATGTAAAATGTTAGTGGCTCCCTAATCGAGACAGATCAGTACCTGTCCTTTCTGTTGAATGCACCCCTGTTACTAATGGAGGCAGGAGCTGGATGAGTAGGGAACAGAAGAACGATGCTGATCTCGAGCACCCTCTCGGGGATCACCAGTAAACTGGCAGCTGCAGCTATCCCTTTAGGGCTCCTGTGACAGAGTGATAAGAATTACAATTTTTTCAATTATACAAACTTTCTGATGTAAGTAAAAAAGTGAACTATTCCTCTAAAAAAATCAGTTCAAAAACATTCAGATGCAGATTGGAAACAAGGTCATCAGAAGTCTTCCCCAGCTTCTGGGCTCTCATCCCCTCTTGTCTGTCGTTGTTATTGGGCAAGCGCTCTCCTTTTGGTGGCAAGATGGCCCTGCTGGCTCCATGAAGGAAATAGTGCCTCTTTCCTAAGAGCCCCTGTTAGACTTGTGTAGTTGAGCTTGGCCTGAGCTTTGCTGATGAAGCAGAATGGTTTCTCCACTACAACGCTTCCTATTTCTGGGAAAATGAATACCAGAGATAAAACAAACATGAAGGTTCTTAAGCTTAGAGTCTTTAAACCAACACAGCGTAGTGGAAAATAATTTTTAAAAGCTTATATAAGAACTTGGATAAAATACAGAAATGAGAAGAGTATGATGAGATATGGTAGCATTGGCCTATAATCCCAGCTTGCAGGAGACTGAGGCAAGAGGATGCTAAGTTCAAGACCAGACTCATCTACGTAGCAACTTCAAGGCCAGATTGAACTTTATAGCAAGACTGTCTCAAAACAAACACACAATCATGTAGGATGAAATAAACTCCAGATAGTTATTATGTTAAGTGAGATTGCTTTTCTTTTT